CCGCTGCCCGCGGCTCACCTGCCTTTCCCTCCGCTTCCCTGCCCAGGAGTGCTTCAGGGCCAACGGCATCACCGGCCGCCGCCTCATCCTCGCGAACTGCTCCAGCCTGCCCGCCATGGGCGTCACGGACTTCGGCCACATGCAGGTGCGGCCGGCAGCGGGTCCCGGAGCTCCCTCCTCAGTCCCTCGGAGCCCAGCTCTGACCCTTTCTGCTTGCGAGCAAGCTAGGCTATAGCCTGTCCACCCAGGCAGACTGCTTATTCAAAGGGTGAGCCTGAAACTGGACAACCAAATTTGTTCAGCCAAACAGTTAAATTTCTTGAGTCTTTTCAGGTATAAACCCTTAGCCGGCTGGAGATCGCAGGCCTCCTCTCTGGGACACCATAAGTTCATCAGAAGTGCTTAGCCTTTCTTTAAGCCTATGTTGCTCCTCTTGCCCCATGAAATTGCTTAGCAAGATGCACGCGCCTTTCTTAGATATCCTTCAGAACTTCTTTTCAGTAATTTTCCACTTACTGATTTGTAGAACTTCTAAAAATCTGGTCACATTTAACCTGCAGCAATTGAGCCACCAATCTCAAGCAGCAGAAGGGCAACTCATTATTACTTCCTTGTTTTACACTTTGCTGAACACAAACAGCATCTCTGTCTCTTCCTCATTTTATAAACATGTCTGGTAATTTTCCTTTCAAACCTGCATCTTTTCTTTAACAAACACTGATAGTTAAGCTAACTAGACTGAAGTTCAGGGCTACAGCCTGGCCTTCCAAAGCTTCCTGAAGGTTCAGAAAATAAGCAAGTTGACTTAAATTTCATTACCCTCCTTCCCCGCCCTAGTGGAAACCACAGAGGGCCGTGGGGCTGCATTTACAGAGTCAAATAATTTGTTTCTCATCATGACTGAAAGTTCCTTTCCTCAGAGGACACAAGGTAGAAGTTCAAATAACCAGGAAGAGAGAAAAAGCTTTATGCTCCAATGACTAGAGTATGAACACTGTTTGTTTTATTCTAGAGCACCAAAAAGCAATTTCACCACAGTTCTGTCTGGCTGCACAATCTTAACTGTTTGAAATGAAACATGCCGCTGAAAACATCGACTAGGGCCACAACTTTGCCTGTTGGTTGGAGAAGGCATCAAATTACAACGCTTAGTTTTTCAGACAGCAGCCCTTCAAGAGTATTTCTAGTACAAGCAGACACAGCCCTTTATAGTCATTTGCACTTACCAAAGATGGCAAGAATTTTATAGGCTTTGTAAGCCTCACCTCACACTGGGATATAGGGATTATGTATGGTGGTAGTTTGACTGTTGAGAAACACTAAGCCATGCATTAGAGATATCAACTGTAACCCATTCTTCCTCCTGTAAAAACTGAAATTCCTCAGAGCTAGGATAAGCAATAGCCAGCATACTGCAGCAAGCTTGGAAATGAGACTGTCTCTGTAATGTTTTCCAAAGCTTGCAAGTGAATGGGGAACATCTCACAGACTTCAGTGGAACTTAGATGTTCTTGAAGATCATGCCCTAGCCTGCTAGTTATTTGTGTTTTAGAGAACTTTACTCTGATAGAATCCAAGCATGCAGAACTCTGAGCAGAATGTGGCCCTTCGGGTCTTTCAGGAAGTGTGTACTAGAGCAGGTGCAAAGTTAAGGCCGTAATCCTGGGCACATCAGCTTCCCAACAAGAAATATAAATGAAAGACTGTGACCAGTCGAAACCAAGATAGTTACTATAGAAATAAACGATAGCATCAGCTCAGTGAGATAGAAACTTTTTGCAATTTAGGGGAAATGGCAGTTTGGTAGAGAACTACACAGTAAATTATGTGGAAGCCCCGCAGCATGGACAAATGAAGTTACTGCTGGTTTTAATTCCACTGTACTGGTATTTTAAATACCAAAACCACTGAAGATACTAGTCCGGAGTTCTGATATCACACAAAGTAGGGTACTGCTCTTCAGAGTCAAGCCAAAGTAGGGGGAAGGTTTTGAGCAAATGCTGTGAAAGATCAGTAAAACCTTGTGAATTGTATTTTGAAGCTTCAGTCAAATCGGAAGGTTACATTCTCAGAAGTGACTTCAAAAATAATGGCAAGGCTCTGTTCACTGACAGTTCCAGGTCCAGCTTGCTCAGACAGCCAGTCACCCATCATTTTCTTCATGAGCAATATGGCTTATTGGTTTAATTAGCTTTTACACCTCTTCTGTGTATAGACTCTGTTGTTGACAATATAACTTAGCAAACAGCAATGTTTTTGCATTGGGCAGAATAGACTCCAGCTCATTCACCCATAACTTGTTTGTTCTGCAAGTGCAAAGAGGAAAGCAGAGCTGTTTGTGCCACTCAGAGACCAGACGTGATGCCATCCCCCACAGTAAATCTGGAGAATGAGCAGTCTGCTCTGCTTTTACAATGTCACACAGGGCTCATGGGTTCAGATCCCTCTCGAGTTGCAACCTCAAGCGTGAAACTGTTCCAAAATTCAGAAATTCAGTTCTTTTTCCTGCTGCTCTGACACAGAATGAGTGGTATTAGCTGTTGCTCTGTGAAATGAGCTTTTCTGGTATTTTGTCTTGTATTTTAGGAGATTTCACGACACGTGCAAGAGTTGCTGGAGATTGAGGAGCCTCTCTTCAACAGATCCATTGCCCTCCCATACAGAGACAACATGGGTCTCTTCCTGGAGCGAAAGTCTCGATCAGGAAAGAAAGCAGATGTCCTCACTTTCTCACAGTTTGTTCAAGAAGCAGGACTGGAGCCCTATGCAGTTCCTCCTTTGCAACGAGCCCAGACTGGGGTAGAACCAGATGCTCTCCCTGTATCGCAGGGCACCCGGAGGCAGGATTAGAGACTCACACTGCACTTCCACCTTTTTAAGAAGCCCAGCAGGGACAGAAGAACGTACCCTTACTACCTTGCAGTTTGTCCAAGGAGGTACAGTTCCACCTTCTCCTGATTGTAGAAAAGGCCATCGCAGCTCTCAGCCATTTGATGACAGCAAACACATCCCCACATTGGCTCTTTTCTGCAATCCTTTGTTTGCTTCCAGGAACTAAGCGAAGCAGAAGCTATAAACCAGACTGTACCACTGTCTGTCTTTCACTTCTGCTTCACAGTTGATTAAAAAGACCAAAAAACAATCACAGGCATACTTTACCAGTGATTGATAACAACTTCCCTGCAGCTCAAGTGAATAGATTTCTTCCAGGCTTTAGTGTCTGCAGACTGGGCTCACTGTAAAGCCCAGATGTAAGATAAACGGCATATGCAATAACTGGTATACAGGTGTGGTGCCAGCTGCTGTCGGCGATCGTAATTAAGCGAGGGGACTAGTTACAACATGCACAACTAGTCCCTGGCCTCACCACAGAAATGATTTCCTGTGAGGCAAAACCAGGCAGTGGTTTCTCATAGTAAACAGTACTGAAACACACGATAGATGACAACGGGAAGTGTAAAAGAATACTGAAAGCTGAACTAGCGAATTTAGGGAATAAAAAAATGTTTTGTCCTGGGTAGATTTGGACAGAATATCCAGTTACCTCCTTTTTCCTTGAAAGAAGTATCATGTAGTCTTTGGTGGTGGTGGTGGGGTGCGTTATCGCCAGCAAGGAAGTATGAATAAATGCTAATTAAAGCCCGGCTCAACAGAAAGAGTGCTCCTGACTAAATCATTACTATTTTGTCTGGCATCAACAGCTTTCTCAAGATCCCCCATGGAAAAATAAAATAAAAAAAAACCTGGGCCCAATCCTGTTTAATTATTTAGGCCAAAGCTGTAGCCACTACAAAAGAACAGTAATTTGGTTTTGTAATTCAGTTTTCTGTTGAAACTGCAACAGAAACCCTGTGAAACTGAAGCAGTTTGTAGGCCAAGATGCCTATGTAATAAGCAGATTCAGACCAAAATAAAGCAAGACTCAGGCAGCCAGGGAGAAGCAAGTTTGCTGAGCAGTCTAGAGTGAAACTTGTAGAAGCAAATGTGTACATAGGGTTATTGGCTGGAACATTTTAAAGAATCCAAGAGTGAACAGTGCTGGTTCTTGCACCCCTCAGGGTGCTGGGATGAGATCTCAGCAAAGCATTCTGCCATGGGCTTCGTTATAGTTTAGAGGATTAGAAAAGCGTGAGCTTGTCCGGTGCCATTTCGCTCTAGCAACTGGCTAAAGGGACACTCTCTCAGTTGTGCAGCTGTCAGGTCAAACCAGGGGAAGTTTCTGGGAAGAGAAAACAAGTGGAAACATTTATGGGCAATAACAGCCTGAGGCAGCTTGCTAATAATTTAACAAACAATGGTTTTCTTCAATGTCTGACTACGAGTCTCTTTCTTGGGTCTTTGAGAAACAGTCAGACTCAGAGGCTTGAATCTAAAGTGTTCCAGGCATTACTCTGCCATGTGGAGCAAAACAGAGCCTAATGGTTCTAGAACAATCCTGCACAAGCAGGAGTCCTTTCCCTCAAGCAGTGTTCCCCTGACTTAACATCCTCAATAGTCTAGTCCATGAACTACCATAAGTTCACTCCCCGTAAGAACTGTCCTCTCTAGATATTCCCATAGGAATTTTTTTTTCTGCATCCAATGCCCCAGGCCTGATCAGTGGCTTCAGACAACCCTGATAAGTAGCCAAACAGGAACCAGGGACAGAATCACTCAGGGATCATAGTCCAGGTCTTTCATTGCTAATACATCGTCTAAGGCAATTTTCCCTCGCAGGTACGTGGCCCTAAGGGCAACACGCAGTTGAGCACCTTCCAACCCAAAAAGACAGCCCATGCTTCAGCTGTGGGATGAGGCAAGTTTCAGAGCAAAGAGGAAGCCTGGACAAGCAGTACCTCAGCATTCAACCCTTTACTTACTCCTCTTGAGTCACTGAAGAGGCAAAACCTTTGTTGACAAAATTCTTGCACACAAACCGTGGGCCGCAAGTTTTCCGCCCTGCACAGATGGGGCAGCGTTCAGGAAAACAGAGGTCACTGAGTAATTCCAGTGCCTTCTGGTGAGGCAGGCACTGCCACGTGCTGCTGTTCAGGGCTGCGTAGAAAATGGCCACCAGCCATTCAGCATTGACTTCTATTTTCCCTGCACGACAAACAAAATCAAATGTCAATTACCAGTGTGCACACAGGTGTGAAGAGATAGTCTCATCTCCTGCTCCTGTGAAGAATTGCTTTGGCAATTAATCAGAGCTGGAGTATTTGAAACCTCTGATCTAGGATCATTTTAGGCAAGGGATGCTGAAATTAATAGTAACGAGTCTAGTATAGCTTGTATTTTCTGTAGCTCATTCTCATCGAGTAAGCAGGAGTCCTTTACAGGCTGCATGTAAAGTAATATAACCATTCAGCCATCATGGCATGATGAGCGCTGTAGGTGCTTTAAGAGCGTTCAGCAACGCAAGAGTTAGAAGTGCATGCAGAAGTGTACGATGAAATTGTGATGGACAGCGGTAGCAGCCGGCAATAGGAACAGCACGTCCATGGAAATAGGAGTTGTGCCTGAGGGAAGAGAAAAAGATTTTGGAGCATGTTCTTGCTCAGAAAGTGTACCTCGGCTCCTGCTCACTGATTTAGCCTCAGAGCTACTATTGTTTTGCAAAGGGAAATGGTAGCTCTTTAGCAACTGGTGGCAGGCACATGGAAAGCAGTGCTCCTGAAAGAAAGGGTGACCCCCGGGGCCCTAATCAGAGAAACTGGTGAAGGAGCCACATACAGCCTCATTTTGCCCATCCACTTCCCGTGCACGACTACCCCCTTCCATGCACGCTATTTCCACTCCAGCTTTAGCTGCACAGTGGCAGGATTGCTCTAGGAGGGTTTTCTTCCCCATCCTGCACTCCTAACAAAATTGTGGCCAGCCCAGATCCAGCCTTGAATCAAACAGCCAGGGGAGCT